TTTCAGGTCTTTGTTAAACTATATTTTTGGTTTAAATGGTTTCAGGTCTTTGTTATACTTTATGTTTTTGGTTTAAATGGTTTCAGGTCTTTGTTAAACTATATTTTTGGTTTAAATGGTTTCAGGTCTTTGTTAAACTTTATATTTTTGGTTTAAATCGTTTCAGGTCTTTGTTAAACTATATTTTTGGTTTAAATGGTTTCAGGTCTTTGCTAAACTTTATATTTTTGGTTTAAATGGTTTCAGGTCTTTGTTAAACTTTATATTTTTGGTTTAAATGGTTTCAGGTCTTTGTTAAACTTTATAGTTTTGGTATAAATGGTTTTCAGGTCTTTGTTAAACTTTATAGTTTTGGTTTTAATGGTTTCAGGTCTTTGTCAAACTTTATGTTTTTGGTTTAAATGGTTTCAGGTCTTTGTTTAACTTTATAGTTTTGGTTTAAATGGTTTTCAGGTTTTTAGCAGCTTCTAGTTGTTCTTGCTGATTTGTTGTAGAATTTATTTGTCAGACGTTTGTGGGTTTTGTTTAGAACCTCAGATCCATCAAACTCCTTGATTTTCTTTCATTGACTTAATTAGCGACACATTTACGACGATTAATCTCCTCGCCGCTCGGCGTGACGGCAGCGAGGGGAGAAGCTGCAGCCCGGTTCTGATCCGTAACCAACAGAATAAAAGCTGCATTCTTTTTAAGGCTGGTTTGGCGCCGCAGCTTCGTTCTGAGGGGGTTAATTAAGAAGCTCACGCTCCGACGCCTTCCTTTAATTAACATCACAGACTCCTGAGTTCTGCTGCTGCCGTTTGTTTGTCCCGACCCACAAACACAAACACCCGTGGGCCCGCCGGAGCGTGACGGTTCTGAACGGACAGAACGCTCTGGATTAAACACTGTAGTTCTCACACGTGTGAACTCTGGTACCACCCAGCACCACCGAGCCTCCATTAAACTCCTGTTAGCCCAGCCTCGTTTTTTTTATCTGGCAGCCCATTACCGTCGCTCGGGGGAGGTAAAGGTTCTGATTAAAAGACAGAGATTGGATTCTGTTCTGTCGGGTCAGAGCTCGGTGGGGAGGCTGATGATCCGACTCGTTTATTTCTGCTTCTGTGTCTGACTCTATTTGCACGATCGCTGCCAAGACCGAAAATATCCACACTAAAAATATCCATAAAAACAGGACCGAGAGGAAACTGAGTGATGAAGAGGAGGAGGAAATCTTCATCTGTCACTGCAGGGAAAACCTCCTCAGGTCTGAATCTGAGGAGTATCAGAGAGAAGAAACAAAAATGGTTTTACACCGATTGATCAGCTGCTGCTAAAATATGAGTGATGGTTTTAACTCTGTTAGCATCAAGGGTGGGCACCGCTAACC